TCCAAACTAAGAGCGGGACAGGCTGGCTTCAGTAAACACAAATCATGTGCGGACCAAATTGCAACGCAATGCTACGCTACGCATCATCATAAAACAGAGCATAGAATGGCAGTCAACTGTGTACCTGTGCCTCAACTTCATCGATTTAGAACAGGCCTTCGAAAGCGTCGACCGAGATGTGATTTGGCAGGCGGTTGCTTCAACACTACGGTTTTAGTGCCACAAAGCTTTATCAACCTCATTCAACAGCTATATGATGATGCCACATGCCACGTGATTCATAGTGGTAAGCTCAGTGATGCCTTTGAATTGAAGACAAGAGTAAGACAAGACTGCATACCTCCACCCATGATCTTCCTGATTGTGGTCAGCTGAACTGGACCATGCAGCAACCTGTGAGGAGGGAGAAGATGGGCATACTCTTGGTGCACCGATGAAAAGAGACTAGAATATTTGGATTTCGTGGATGATTCATGTCTAATGTCACACAAACTCGAAGATGTGCAGGTGGAACCAGTGAGTTTGCAGAAGAGGCGAGGCAGCGAAGGTTGGACTTCAAGTGAATGTAGAGGCGACGGAGGTGATGAAGATATCAAACTTACAACAGCATCAACTACAAGCAACAATCGCCATCATCAGGAGAAACCTTAAGGAAGTAGTCTCTTTCACCTACCTGCCTAGGCAGCATCATTTCAACTACTGGTGGAAGACATGAGAACGTCAAATCCATTGATTATTTGCGCATTTTTCACTAGATACTTGGTCACCGTTGCACTTCTTATTGGCCGACAGTCATCATGAATTTTAGTATATTAAGACTGTACTCAAATCACCAGACGTGGTTGCACTTTAATTTTCCTGTTACTGATGAGTGTTCATGAAAAATGTTTCACCATGTTACGAACGCTTTATGAAAACGCCTCTGGTTGAGTTAGGGCTAGTAAGTACCTCCCTCCGTAATTCCCAGCCAGCGACTAAGTTGAAGAGGGTTGCCCGATTACGCCAGTCACCTTTAACTTTGCTACTGGTGACATAATTTAGGTAAGGGCTCTTTGATGCTGCAGATCCACAACTAGTGAAATACTTCCTAATTGTGAGTATATTGAAGATAATTTTAGTATATAAAAGCATGCAGGCTGCTCAAACTCCATGAAGTCAGCGAGCGATCAGTGTTCATAAGAGTGGTATATGCACTGGGTTAGTTGCAAATTACTCTCATAAAATTGGCAGGAGCGTATACGTTCATTCAACGCTGCGAATGAATGGTTGAGATTTATTGAAACTTTTGTGTTTCGGTGGTTGCGTAAATGCTAGTAAAGATGCGACTGATGAAGCTTTTAATCGAATGTCAGAAGCTAGAGTGGCATGCACCAGTATGACTCATGTTTGGTGCCATGTCAATGTTATTTTGGCTGTAAAGCGTTGGGTGTACAATAAATTTATAGGAGTAACTTCACTTGCTTCACATCTGCACAGACTGACCTCTTCGAGCTGGGGATGTCCGACAATCTGTGCATTACATCACTGTTGTCTTCGAAGAACTGGTGACATCTGTTGTAAACACAATTCAAATAATTCTGGGATAAGGCGAAACATGCTTGGATGTTATGCAGATCATCATTCGCTGAGTAAAATCATTTTGAAACAACAACGTTGCTGTTTCAGACATGTATTACGAATGCTGTTTCAGTGTCTCTCATATGATTCACTATTTACTAGCCTTAGAACCTGCTAGAAAAAAACGGAAAGATGATCATTTTGTGAAGTGATACCATAGGATGAATGATAGTCACGCTGATTTAGGACTTTTTGGTGCTACGTAACTCTCTGTTTAGTGTCGAAGAGTCAGGGATTTAAATGTCTTTTTAAGACTGCAGAAATTGCTCAGAAGTCAAATGAGTAGTGTTCATTGTGGAGTTTTCTTGTGTTTTCTACTTGTAGAAAGTAACACAAATGCAATGCAAGGTTCTCTTCATCACATCTTTTCTCTCTTCAAGTTGTTGTATTTTTTTTACTTTATGAAGTTGTTGTGCCACTTTCCCTGGCACATTTCGCAGTGCCCAAGTTGTGTCAGGTTTGTGTTCGAAAGAAAATTAAGCGTGTAGTTTATCCAACCAGAAGGTTCAACTGACATTATGAGGAGTTTTTATCGTTGAAGAAGAGTTGCTTACTTTGGAGACATTACTTACAGACACGTGTCGATCTGTACTTAGTCTGACAATCCCATTTGTGTCTAACCACCATCCATGAATGCTTAGTTTTTATCAAATACAAGTCTTACAAGGATTCTCCAACAGTATGTCATGTTGCTTTATTTGTTTCATGAATGACCTGAAACTTTTTTTCAATTCAGTTTACATAGATTGCTGGATTGTGTGTGTGTGTGGATGATTGTGTGGAGAGAGAGCGAAAGAAGCAAGAGGTATGTTTATTACAAAAATGTATAAAGTCTATTTTTGACATGAATGTATGGTATAAGTCACTATCGATTATAAAACAGTATTCAAGTTATATAACTGTTCCATTTATGATTGTACTCAAACTGAAATCCATTCTAAGTTTAGCGACAGACCTGTCATGTGTAGGAATTTAGTGTACTATGCTGGTTGAGGAGATTAAATGGGTAGATTTTGACGCTCGTTACTACTTACTAGTCCGTAGAGTTTAGTGACTATGCCTCTGGATACTATTAATCAACCTTGTTTCGAAAGTAGTTCATCTTTGAGACACCAGACTCATAATGCGTTAGTCAGGTGAGTTTACAAGTCCTGTAGTCTCAAACTAAGTCTATGTTGTAACAGTCTACTGCCTATGTTGTTTCTTACCTGCTGATTGTCAGTGTACCCATTAACTCGGGCAGTTTCCTGAAATCGCCATATATTTACGTAGCTAATTTGGGAGCACTGGCCATCATGGTTGAGCAAGGGACAAATTAGAACAATGAAGAGGTCCATACATGCATACCTAGTTGTCACAGGACATTAAGTGGATATTAGAAAAGCTTTCAGAATCATTCATGAGATTCCAGTTAATTTACCACATGGATTACGCACTCGTTTACTTCATATAGCAAAGGCGATTGCAATCCACCTTTGCAAACCTATCAGTTGTATCCAAAAGAAGTTTGTTTGACCACTCTCATTACCGTGGCCATCAACATGAAGTAACTTCTGGGTTAACTTTGTACACCTCTTCCCCTTCTGGTTTCAACCAATATTCATTTGTTTTCTTACTATTACGTAATCGCTTATTGTGAATGATTGGACACTCATTCAAAATCACTCCACTTATGTAAGAAAAGCTTGCTTCATATTTCCAATTTTAGTAACTCTACTGATTATTTGCATTATTATTTCCGCAACATCACCACGTGATTGGTAATTTGATTAAATTGCAAAACTATGTATTGGTGTAGAGCCCAAGATTAAGACCTAATTGAAAAGGAATATATTTCTTCACTCATTCAGTTTTTTTCTAATTTGGGAGTGTTGAATCACTCCTACTTGGCTTATAACCTCCTATCGCTTCAGTTAATCGTATCTTCTTGCTATAGAAAATCACTGACACACCATAAAACTTCACTGTATCAAACTCTTATTTTTAGAAAAGAAGCCTGAATACAACCATCAGTTTTCCTAATATGGCGCGCATCAGCACTGTACATCTCCACGACTTTGAGACGTTTCGATTAACTTTGCGATTCCAGCCATACTGTTCATTCCTACCATGAACGTATGCATCATTAGTTTGCATGCTTTTATCAACATTTAGAAGCATAACCTGAATTTTTAAATATCCAGTGACTTGCATTCACTACGTCAATATTTAGATTGACGATTATCTGCCAATCAAGCACTAACTTTAAATCCAAGTACACTAAGTTGATTCCTGTGATAAACGTAAATTGTTTTGGTTGAATGAGTAAATTAACTATCAGACTGAGGATGTGAAAACAAAAGCTTCCTACGTTATCCTTCCTATTGTTGCCAGTTTTCACTAATAAAGAATTGTTCATTGCACAAATATTGAGGAGAAACCATCGGCTTGTTGTCTTTCCCTCAATATAGCCAAAATAAACACCAAGTTCTCTGCGTCTCATTACCTATGTACAGAATTGTATACTGGAGTTTGTACCACGTCTATTGCCTCAAAGCTAACGATACTTAGTCATCCAAAGAGTTAATTAGAGTACACGTGGATCCATTGCTGAAATCCAGACTGTCTGAAAAAATAAAACACAACTTCATAAAACGCCGGATGATTGGATTTAGTCTATCACCAACTCTGCTCGACCTTTATTTTCTACTATTTAACTCTTATCAAAAAGACTTACTCAAAACTTCGAAGCAGCTGATGTCCAAGTCTATGACCACAGCTCTGAGTGAAGCGCTTTCGGATATTACATAGTAGATCAGTTCCCTCAAATATTGTGGTTGATGTTCTGATTAGCAATTAGAGTAGATTCTTATGCGCCTTATGTTGGTATGGCTTGTAGACTGCTAGGTTGCGTGACTGGTCACAGCATTTACTGATTGCGTTCAATTAAATGACAAGATAATGCTTCATAATGGGTCTTCTTAGGTGTTATCACCATCTACTCAGGTCAACAAGTTAGGTTTTATCAAGGATAAAAATGCAGCTGATTAGTTGGCTGGTCATCCTCATCTTATTCTAGTCAAGTTGCATCGAAATAAAGGAAATAGCATCGACGTTTAGTAAATAATAGAAATTTATCACTACCATGTCCCTCATCAGCCCATCAGAAAACTACGACATTGAATAAGTTGAAATGAGCCTAACATTATACAGTTTATCTGAGAACCACATAACTTCAATCTGCACTCAACACTTCTATTTAGGTATAATAGACTCATGTAGTTTTTTTATCAGACAATACCTTTATGTCATCAGAGTTCCTTATTATTGCCATCATTCTGATTAGCATGACGTGATAAGACTAATATGTTTTCATTAAAATATTCTTTTTTATTTACTTACAGGCAGTTTAGTGAAAATATATGGCAATGCATTAAATCCAACTATTCCATATATCCTGTTACCATTATGTAGTAATGATACAGCTGAACAAATTGTTCAGTGGACATTAGAAAAATACAACTTGATGAATCATGTTAATCCAAGTGATTATTGTTTGGTTATGGTGAATCTACCGTCACGAAGTAGTGATGGTGCTGGTGTTACTGAACGTCTACCGTAAGTTATTCAATTATGCTTTCCTGCTTAAATGTTTATTCTTCAATGTTGACTGGTTATTTAACGTCAGTAACAAACTGTTAACCTGGGTCTCATATTTTTATGTGGGTATTCATCAGCAATGTATGACAGTGTCCTGATAGCGAGGTTCAGAAACTTGATGAGCAGTGGTTAATTGTAGGTTGTGAATACGCAACTGATGAGGCCCATCCTGTCAATTGTCATGGCGAATTTCCTAGTTAAGTCACCAGTCATACTGCCGAACTTAATCAAGGATATTTGATCTACGATTCTATTAATATCAGTTATACAACTCCATTTGTTACAACTAACCATGTACTAGGCAATTAACTACACTTATTCTGTGAGGGCTTTTGGTACTATAAGGTTACCTAGACCAAAGTAGATGGAAAGGAGTAATAATCCAGGCTACAATGATATAGACTCATCGGTAAGATAGACCCAATGAGCTAGATGTCCACATAGCTAACTGAGATGGGGACATAACGTTGTTGTTTACTTTCTAATAGAAAGTGAATATATATTTATTCTTATTTTTGATGTAAAGTTAGTTAATTTTAATCAATAAACGACTTTATCACCAACATCATACCCATCGAGCATCGTTATAATCATGTAGATTCTGTTAAAAAACATACTATCCATGGAAAACTGGAAAATTGAATTCGTCATGGATTGATAGGTTCCAGTCTCAAATAACCTTTTAAGATGTCGTAGGATTTCTTAACGCTTATGATGTTGACACTTTAAAATAGGATGATAAGTTTGCAAATAATTTACTAGCTTATTATCCTATTTTAGGTGTACCGGCCCATACAAGTCGACTTTCCAGATTCAGGTGATCTGAATTAATTTGGCTGTATGGGGTGACTTTTTTCGGGCTCACTGCCGATCAGCTAGATCAAAAATGAGCAAAACGGCTGTTCCGGGTAGCGTTTAGATCACTCTAATCTAGCTGGCAAAGTCTACAGATCAGCCTGACTTGCCTCAAACTAATCAGTTTGATCTTTAGTAGTATATATTGAAACCTTTCTGTAAAGGACCCATTATTGACATCCTCCTTTACTCAGTAGCTTGTTGCTTCAACAACTAAATTACAAGTACAAGTCTAAGATGTTCCATAACTTGTATCATAGTAGAACATGGATTCATTTCACTCCAAAGAAATAGAAAACAGTTTTAAGCAGTCAAAAGAAACCACCACTTAACTGTAACTACTCACACCATTCAGTTGTATATTTCGTATCAATTAGTATTCAGCTTAATCTTTGTAATTCCCACTCACTTTCGAGTTTTTCTGATGCCAAAAGTGACCAATGAGGAATACTACAGTGACTAGGAAAAGGTGTCTTATTTGGATAGTATAGATTTCTTCTGCATGAAATATACGAAATCATTAATGTTTCTCACGTCTCACATCCCCTATACCAAGACCACTGGCGAACGGACCACCTTCTTAGGATTAGGGATAAATTTGAAGAAATAAGTTTTGAAAAAACTCACATAAGGTTGTTGTTTATAATTAGGTGAGATTTTGATGAGAACCTGAGGCAGCTAGACTAAAATTCTTCATTAGTCCATGAAATCTATTAGTATTCACCAAAACTATGTACGGAAATGTGAACTTATAAGTTGGGATCTGTGTGACAACCGTAATCTGTGATTTGATACTCTAAGTGAAATGAATCAGAATAGAGCTTGGTGTTGCAGAAGAATCCATACCTTATCTTCATCCTCATTATCATATCACGGCTTGTTATTTGCTTCAGTGCCTCTTCCACTCTTCCCATGACTCTATACGATTAACTTGCCATCCGCAATGTGATTGGTCAATTCAATTTCAAAGTGTGTTCGTACTGAGTATCTCAGCTACTAAATTCAATAAAAGAGCAATGAAATGTTAAAATCATGTATTCTTGAAATAACATTTTTAGATTAAATAACACCATCATTTCTGTATATAACCATGGTATTGTTCTAGATCAACGGGAGAAACTTGAAGGAAGTAACCTCCTTCACTTATCTAGGAAGCACTGTTTCAACTACAGGCGGCACACACGAGGACGTCAAAGTCAGAATCGGAAAAGCAAGACAGGCGTTCATTAGCCTGAAACCAGTGTGGAGATCTTCTGCACTCAGCATGTGGAACAAGATCCGGATTTTCAACACCAACGTCAAGTCTGTGCTCTTGTATGGCTCAGAGACTTGGCGCGTCACGAAAGGCATTTCCAATAAACTACAGACATTCATCAACAACTGCTTACGCTCGTTACTGAAGATCAGATGGCCAGAAAGAATAAGCAACAAGGAACTCTGGCCAAGTAACGAACCAACCAAGAATCTATAGCTCAAATATGCAGGAAGAAGTGGAGATGGACTGGCCATGCACTGAGAAGGCCGACTGAGGACATCACGCGTCAGGCCCTCGAGTGGAATCCCCATGGGAAACGACGAGTTGGACGTCCGAGGGTGACATGGAGGAGGTCGTGCGAGGAGGAAATGAGAGGTTGTGGGCTGTCATGGGACCAGGTTCAAAAGATCTCAGAGAACAGAGGTCACTGGAGGCGTGCTACTGAAGCCCTATGTTCCACTAGGAACCCAAGGCACTAATAATAAAAAAATAATAATAAAATTGTTCTAGATTGAGAGGATAAGCTAAAGGCGGTTGTTACCAGCATACCTCTCATAAGGACGAAACATTTACTGAGTACTTATGGGCTTCAGTGCGTTTTTAGCATCTATTCGTTCTCTGATAACTGTTATCTTTAAAGTTACTATGTTTATTTGGACTGTTAAAAAATCTCAGTTAGCTATTTAATTCGTAGGAAGTCAAAATACGTTCAAGAATGCAGTTGTTCTTTTAGAAAATCATTACAAATAATTTTTCAAGCACTTGGATTAGTTAAATAAAATTAACGTTCCGCTATTCAGGCGTTATACACTCGATCCGTTTGTAGTGACCAGTGACCAGAGGTAAAGTCAATGCATCAACCACACGTTATTCATTTGATTTGTTTGTCACTATGATTTTTTTGACTGTGAAGATTCGTAAGGGTTTATTGATTGATTTCAGATTGACGTTCTTCATGGAATGACATTAGTTGGAGAAACATTGGGAGCTTAGGAGCAATGGACAGCTATTTCACCTTAGTATGAGACTCCTCAGCAGTTGGCACCCATGATCCCATTGAGGATCGAACTCAGTGCCTCCAGCTCCTGTGGCCAGTACTTCGCCATTCACCCACTGAGTTGGCATACAACCATTGACATTTCCAACTCCTTTCAGTCCACGACACAGCGCAACCTTTATCTAATGACACCGGTGAGTAACTGTCCTCATGTACAACGTGGTCGGCCCCACCGGTCACAACTTCTTATTAGAACTTCGAAAGCCTCATTTCGGAACAAGTCATTAATGAGCACTGGAGATAATTTCGGTTTGGAGGTTTGTGGGGATTAACTTATTGATTTGAGGTTGGTATTCATCATGGAGTAACATCAGTTGAAGAAATATCCATACAATGCCGTCATTGAGGTCACGCTATTTGGCAAACTGACAGAAGTAGGAACCCAGTGGCTCCAGGTTTTCAGTTGTTCTCCAACTGATGTCAGTCTGTGATGACTACAAACTTGAAATCAATATATATTTTTCATTGAACTCACATTGACCTGTTCGGAACTTTTTAGATACCATCCATGACACCTTTCCGAATACCGTACTTATTCAGATTTTTAAGTTAGCTACTTATTAATAGTTTGGTTGTAAAAAGTGTTCATATTGTTTTGTCAACCTTCCCACCCACCCAAGTACTTTATACAAGTGATGGTAACTTGAGATCCTGTCTTGATATTATAATAATATAAGTACAGAAAACTTATACTCAGTTTTCTTAAACGACTATACGATAAGCTGAAGTATAGAATGAAAAATAACTTACACTACCCCACACCCAGGCTCACATACATATGTTTATTAGAATAAAGAAAATTTTCATTGAGTAATAAAACCTTAAAATTATGCAACATGAATCATATTCTCAAATTTCAAACCGATAAAGTTACAAAAATCACTGAAATTTTTACTCTGTTTTGTTTAACATCTCGAAAAAAATACTACCATTTTCATCTGATTACTCAAAAACAATTGAATGAATATGTATATAGTTGTCCTGAGTGAATGAGTTTAGAAATAAATCTGCTTCACACACACACATATTCTAAGCTTTTTGGACGTCTTTTCATGAATGTTCATATATGTATTCTGCCACAAAGTCTGAGGAAAGATCTAAGCAGAAATTCACAGTAATTACTGTTTATCAGTTGAGAAAATGAAAGGAAACTGGACGTGTTTGGGACAGTCCATCAGTATTCTGTTCGCAGAATTTAAGTTCGGGGATATCTTTGTTCACTTCATGGTAATGTATGTCTAGTCGATCTCAACCTACTATTTTAATTGATTAGAAGGCTTACCAATACGAATTCTTCTGATACTAATTAATTGTAGGGAATGCCGCAGTTAACTGTGTAATGCTTGAATCACTTGCACGCTGTTTAATCAGTTTAGACTTCAAGAAAATGATATGAGTATAACTTATGTTCATTACGATATCTTCTTAGGCATTGGTCTCATTTCTGTGCGTGTGGTAACACCAACATAATGTTCATTAACTGACTGACTGATTGAGAACATGAATCAAAGAACTTTCGGCACCTGGTGAATACTTATTCGAAAAAGATTTATTTAATTCCATAAGCCCAAAGACATTTTTCAACATTTTTTACAGTCATCTCCAATATGTAGATTTTAAAGTCCCCTTCTCATCATGACATCATCACAGCCGGTAAGGGGTTTAATCCATAGGTGATTGGCACTTAAAAACAGTATGTGATTACATTGGTAACACCTAATGGCCAATCATATTGATCTCTGGTAAAGTAGTATGTTATTTGCAGTCAATTTATTTCAATTCCTCTTGAAGCATTGATGCAATGATTCCATCGGAACGTTCTCTAATCAACGCTCCAGTTTGTAGAGCAACTCAGTCTGGACATTTGATGCCTTTTTATCACTTCTCCTTTTTCTGTGGAGAAGATTATTCATCGTCATGAGTTGTAACAGCTGTAGCACATACACTAGCCATTTCAGTTTTCACATGCTCACAACCTCATAGTTCCATTTTTTACTGGCCATCACACAGTGAAATAATATAATTTAGTGAACATGTTATACAACACAACCATAATAATATTAAGATAGGGATATAACATTTATTACTGGCAAATTACTCGATAAATAGCTCTATTTTCTGGTGCGATATGTGTGACCAGTGAACAAACATGGAACTATTTCAAAGTTCTATTCTGTTACAACTCAATAAAATGATTTACATTAGCTCTATGTATTTATTATTCTATGAAATCTTCCTCGTATACACAGAGTTGGTTTTAATTTGCATATGTCTATAGCTTCCACAAATCTGAGTATGAGTCACAGACTGTTTTTATACATAACGTTGAAAGCTATTTTCAAATAAATTCCCTTGATTCATCTCTATAGTATGTTTAGATATAGATGAAGAGGATTGTTAGATACTTGCATTTGTCAAAATTTCACACTTCAACTGTTTTCAAAGCCATTTAGGTAGGTACATGTTCTCTCACCCTCAGTTTCTCTGTATTTACGTTTGTCCACAAACACATGTGGGCTGGTAAACACATTGGGTTATGACGCAATCTTCTGTGCAATGTTTAGGTTTGTATTGAACCATATGGTCTTTCTTTTCCACAGTGATAAGATTGGTCCATTAATATTTTCAACTAATGTCAAATGTCAGCCTGCGTCTCAAAACTGTATTGTTTAACTTACCTGTGCTTGGTAGAGGATAGTCTGTATTCCCTAACTTAAACCAGTGTGTCATTCGAAGTTATCGCCGTGCAGGTTGTTGGCAGGTATCTATCATCACATTCAATTTGATCGACTTCTCAAATCCCTGTAAAGGTTTGTTTCAAATCAAGTCACTAACGTGCATGAAATTATTCTTCAATTAATTGGTAACTGGTACATCGTAACATCCGTAGCTATTTGATGGGATATATGATGTTAGTTCTACTGCACACACAGTTCTGAAATAGAATAAGAAGGCTGTCGATTAATCTTCGATGTTTCTTTCAGTGTTTCTCTGTCCAACTCCAGTCCTTCGGTATAAACGTCGATGTTTAAGGTTATCAGTGCTGTTACTGTTATCTACTTAGATATGGTCTGCTTTAATTACTTCTGACTTTCATTTTTTTCCAGTCATGGCATTGATAAGGAAATTACCATGCACGACAAAGATTGCGTTCTGAAATTCCGTGAAATGATTCGATCCAACTTTGGTGTATCTAATGTTGTACAAATCAGGCATCGATATCTTGTAGGTAAAGATGGAAAACGCCCACCACTACCACCCCCAGCTTATCCACATGCTCCCGTTCAAGAAGCTCCTGTTTCACTCCAGTTGAATACATCTTCAGGCAATACCAAGGGAGGACGACAATTCCGGCGTGAGAGTCAACCAATATCAGATATGCCATATTTGGTCGAAGTAATCAATGAATCCGATCATTCAGTGCATCCTAGAGGATTAACGATCGATTTGACTGACTTATTCATGAGAACCTACACTTTACCTATTAAACTTGGCACTATGGAAAGTATGGTTGGACCGTACCCAAATATAGTAGTGGATAAGGTAAGTTAAAAAATATTATGTTTTTTGATAAGCTGTCTTATTTCCAGGTATGACCTTATTTTGTCAGATACTTAAGTACACTTGCATAGTCTTTTGATTTCTTTTTGGGGAAACATGCTACTACTAGATCCTCTGGTAGGGACTGTTTAGGTGTATCTTTTTAAAGTTGTTTCAAGGAGTAGAATGCATTCTGTTCATCTTCGACCACCCTTGATGTAACTGATAAGTGCTTGTTTGCAACAGAAATATGCAAATACGAAACTTGTTAGAAGCTGTTCGCTGAGTAGATGCTTTCTATATGAGAATGAAGTGACACTCTTACAACGCTTACAGTGCCTTGTAAAAGATCATATGGGTAACAAAACTGAAAATTTTCAAATCTATTGTTGATTGTTTGTTGATGTCATCTTCTACATGTCAAGAATTCTGAGTGTTTGAAAGTATTAACTAAGAAATCATTTCATAAATCGCTGTACCTTTTGAGACTGTATCATTTATACCCTTGAAAGGAAGAAAACTGTTAGTTGGATGCAAACAATCAGAAGGAAAGCCTGGTCCATCTAAGTTTCGTGTTTCCCGGCACTTATCAGCTAAGTGTCTCTGTAACGCCAACGGAGATGCTAACCCGTCTGGGACTCGGGCCCGTGGAGACCTGTATTTCAGTCAGAGACGCTACCACTAAGCTATTTAGACCACGGTTCACATCCTGTAGGAGTGGGTTAAGTACAGTGGTTGCTTACTGGAGGTTAACCAACTTCATGTAGTCTAGTTCCTGAGTGCTGATCGAATTCTACCAAACATTTTGCAATTGGATTGGGGTCCAAGTTTCATGTACGTTTTTGTGTGCATTAAGATTTTCCAGATTCTTTAAAGAAACCTGAAATCAATTAAGCCCTTCAGCACCAATCGTTATATTACAAGTGTTCAATAAAGAACACATTATCTTACATGTATATATAAGGTTATTTGAAGGGATAAGGTGCATGAAGAAATATCCCTAGCAAAGCATCTGAAAATAACTAAGACCAAGATATATTGCATTGTGTATATTTTGGTGTTGGAATGCACCTTCAGTTTGCCTAGCTGCTCCTTTTGCTTCCGTGGAATTTATCATCAATCAGGTACGAAATCCGATGGCTGTTATTCAAGTGCTCAAAAGCAAATTTCCCGACATATTTCAGATCTTATTAACAAGGGTGGTGTAGAAGTACTTTATGATGATAACCAAACAATATTATTGGCATACCAACGACCGACAGTCGTCGTTATTAGACCGTTGAATAAGGAACATAAGTATACCCTTTAGTAATAATGATGTTATTACGAGCAGTTCCTGTCTGCCGCAAATATATCCAATGTTTCTGCTAACAGATAAGTTGGCAACTATCAATAATTTATTTTTCCCTTAATAACAACCAATGCAGTAAACGGGTGACTCACCTGTTTTCATCTTGGCGACTAACAGTGGGATTCTGGAGGCGTGTTTCGTCCTATTTGGTACTCGTCGGCTGATTGTATCTGCACCTTAGTAAGTGATGTCATTCCCACTGGGAGTCGAACCCAGTATCCGTCGCTTCAAAAGCTGAGGGGCTATCCACCAGGTGACTGAGGCACCAGAGCCACCTCTTGTACAAAACTCTGTTTAACTCACCTCTTAAAATTGTACTAGAAAGAGACTCAAATGTTAGAGGTCAAATTTTTAAGCTTCCTATATTCGGTTTAAAACTTCAGAGTTGGGGATAAAATCTCATCTAGATTTAGGTTAGAGGCCTCTAGTTTACCCATTAGTGTCTTAAAAGGTGATGTATTAGGACCGTGAGACTCAAATGAAGATATACTTTGCCTCAGTCTCTTCATAGTGTGCTGTAACCTTGTGTTTTCGAATCCTACTGAGTATTACGTGATGAACCTAGCTGCGTAAAACACTATGAGTAAACTTTCAGAGAGCTCTTTACCTCGGTTTCGTACGTCTTGACACATCAGAAAGAAGCATCTGCAGCCTTTTGAAAGCTAACGATCGCTTGGAGATTTGAACTCCCGTTACCAAATACTGAAGTCAAATGGCTTACCCTTACGTCATCCAGGAAACGATCAGAAATTAGCATATCATACTATAGGGACTGACTAATCATTTGGTAGCAACCGAGGTAGTTGACAATTCCTTGATACTGATCAATGTCCTTCAAACAAGTTTATAATATGTCCATAAATCTTAGTTACACGATACTGAAATCAATACTGAAACTAAAATTCAAGACTCGTCAAGGCCTATCACTTATGATGGCTACCATCCAGTGGTAGTGTGATTTTTGTAAGTAGCGAACTAAAAAATAATTCATTGAATAATCCCGCTGATGAAGTGTCTCATTCCTGCGTACGTTATACCACTTACGAAGGTTAGACTGCAATAGAAATTTGAAATTATTGTAAAACCCTGAATGTGTTACATATCAACAGTTGCTACTATTCATCAAGACATATCACAAGAACTATACAAGGGAATGTGTCTACAGCTGGTCAGCACCAATAACTTGAGTTCGATCCTATTAGCAAACGGTAGTTGTGAAGCATTTTCCGGATTCCATAATTTAAGGGATAACTGAAGATGATGGAAAATGGATTTTAGTTCCTCCTTTGTTCGGTAATCTTAAGTCACATTCAGGTTTGACATAAACCAAAACTAACTGAAGCATTACCCATCAATTAGGCTGTATTTTTGTACTGTTCATCTGCTGACACACGATGTCACCATGTCAAATTGTTATTTGTGTATACCTTTAATTCCCTGCAGCATATTTAACTCGGATGAAATGATCAGTCTCTTCTGTTGCTTGGGCTTTCCCTATTAATGCATTGGTGTGTTGCCGTGAGCCTCATTTTGAAAATAATTGCGAACAGTCGAATCTACGAGGCATTTTACGTCCCGTTTGAGAATCTTCAGATAGATTTACATTGACGTTTCTACTCAGAGGCGAGGCGAGCAGCAGTACCATACGTGTTGTTGAGTCAAGAGAGCCAATTCACGTCCAACGGATAGCAAATGATAAGATAACACCAACAATGATGAAACAGACAGCGGTGACGTAATTAATTCGACACTTTAATAGTAGTCAGAAAGTTGTCACCGATGAACTCATTTATCCGCCTTATTAGGAATGTGTTTCTCGCTGAACTTCGAATAACTACGCTTTGTTCAAAGGAAATCGTGGTGGGCATTCTAAGTGTCAGCTGAAGTTTGCATTATTCCCTGCATAAGCGTTAACTACTTCAGCAAGACATTGATTAACTGTACAGTATCAACAATCGGTGAAATCTCTGAGAAGGTGCTGTATTAGTACTTTCTGCCTTTTCTGTTTACAATCGTCTTGTAAAGATGCTTTTCTCGACGATGCGAGCAAACAGCTAAAAGATTAACTTGATTTCAAAACAGACGTTAATGTGAACTAGCTGCAGGCGTATAGTGGAAACCGTCTAGTTTTATCCTTCATACTCTAAATATCCTCAAAATCATAGATTCATCCTATGGTGGGGTGACAACAAATGGGAAAATTAAGTTCAAATACGTTTGAAGAAGACTGCTGATATCAAGTAAAGTGCACTGCTGTTTTCAGCTGCCTGAAGTACTGTCCACATTAAATATACTCATCCAGAGAATTACGAATTCAATACTTATTTACAACTTAATCATTATGGTGTAACTGACTCTGTGGAGTATTATTACCATTATTATTATTATTATTTATCCTTTGGGTTCCTAAGGAACGTAGGACTTAAGTAGCACGTCTTCATTCCACTCTGTTGTCTGGCGTCTTTTGAATCTGTCACCACGACTGCCTTCAAGATCTCATTTCTTCCTCGCATGATCTCTTCCATGTCACCCTCACCACGGACGCCCAACTCGTCGCTCCCCATCGGGGGTGTAGTGTTGCAATTTGGCCGGCACATGATTTGTACTTCCTGAGTCCAGCCTGCCTGTTCCGGTCGTAGTTTTGAATCTAGCGCATCCTTTAGTCTGTCTAGGATGATGCGGCTTAATATTTTTTGCTTGTATTGGGTGGACAGGAGAGTGATTCCACTCCAGTTCTTGCAAACACTGAGGTCTCCTTTCTTCGGGAGTTTGACAAGGTAGCCATACTTCCAATCGCCAGATACCTCTCCTTCCTTCCACACCTTCTGCAGTAGTGGTGTGAGCATGTCTGCTGTTGTCTCTGCGTCTGTTCTCAGTGCTTCTGGCGGGATTCCATCTGGTCCTGCTGCTTTCCTGCACTTCAGTAGCTTAATGGAGCTCAAGACTTCGACTTTCGTCGGATGGCTTGTGTTCACTTGTAGTTCTGTGGCTGGGCTGCAGGTGATATTTCTGGACGAAGTGCAGGTAGTGGTGGATTCAAGAGCTTCTGACTCTGTGGAGTATACTGCGTTGAAATTTAAAGTGAACTGTACTTCTTAAGGTAACAATAAGATAATAATCGTCGGCTTCACTGTGTTCGATATGTCAAATGCAACTGGTGTGTCAAAGACCTAGTTATCTGTGATATGGCTTTAGGGTTCATGAATGGTAATTTTGATTTCATGTTGGTGGATTATTCGACAAGAAGCAACGCATCAGTGACATTGATAAAATGCGGCTGTTGTTTTCCACTTGTTTATTTCCATTGCAGTTTAGATCAGGCTAACACGGTCCTTATCTCTTACCTTCATGGTTATGATGGAAAGTTTTAATATTTTAAGAATGTATACCTTTTTCTTGCCAAAAAGATGATCCCATTCATCGGTTATTGTATTTGAATAAAGGTGTTTCAAACTGAAAACGGTAAGATCATCAGAGTTTACATTTTCAAGAAGTAAAGATTTTGCATTAACTGAAGCATCCATCTGTGTTCAAAGAACAGAAGGTGATGTTTTGACATTGTAAGCCTATGGGCTTTGATTTATCTCCTCACACTAGTATCTAAATGCTACATATGTACGCATACAGTACACGAGAAAACACCAGACTTTGTGCACTACACATTAAATGCACTCAAAATAAACAAGACATATTTGGAAGCAGAGACAGAAAGAATGAATAGGGATACATAAATCTTCCTTCCCTTCAAGGTGAATCACTCTGTCGCATAATTATCCATTTTATCTGCTATTTGTCTTTAGCATGTTACAACATCTAAATCCTGACCGGGGTCATGTAAGGAGAAAATAGGCTAATCTGGCTTCGATCCTGGTGACATTAAGAACCAATGGCTAGAGACTTACAATTGCATGCCTTACTATTGCCTGTAATGGCATAAATGTATCCAACTTTTGTCGATCTCAAACTTTTGAACATTTTCACTTGACCTCATTATTTTATTTTCTCTTTTCTTCTCTCATACCCTCTTATGCACTTTCGTGTCATTCTTTATCCTATAGACTTGCTTTTTGCATGCCATTTTGGAGTGTTGCTACTTTAACTGATTCACTTTCATCCCAGTTTCCATCTTGATTTTTCTGTTTAGCATGTTCCAGGTCTTGAACAGATGGTCTTATCCTCCTCAATAGTCACAGTAGCTTCGTAGGTCAATCTCATACATTAATTTTCCCACCTCACCTTTCTGTTAACTTGATTCCGATTTGGTGTCATTTGTGCATCAGACCAGTTTATAACTTAGCGATTTCAGCAACTGAACATTAATGATGTCTTCATCATTCGAATTACCATGTTCACTTACATTTTCCCCTTAACTCAGCACTGTATTCTCTCTGTTGTTCTATCCCGTGTGCACAATTTTATGAAACCACTTATGGTTAACATCTATAACCCGTCAACTTGTTTACTTAACTGTCACAGAGTAGAAAAGAATGAACAGTTCACCAGTAAGCTTACCTTTTGTTAGGCAGTCGTATATCCTAAGAAATCCCTAGGTACAATCTTTAGTCACTGGATAACAAACAAATTCGTGCATTCCAGACCTAAGTGCTGATCGAATGAAACAGATTATCTTGCACTACGGTGTCCAATCTAGGAGACTCATCATCCTGGTGAATTGATGTTGCGTTTGGAAGTAGTAGACAGAAAGTTGATTTTGACCTAGGTTTCGTGTTTTTTGTTATTTATCGGCACGTTTTATTTGCAACCCCAAAGGAACTGATTCCTTCTCAGATATTTTGACTTGCATGACCCAGTGGTGCACAGTCACAGTTCAAGTAGTTCAATGGTATCTTTTCTGACTTTTATGGCCTGATCCCTGATGGGATATCACTTCCCTCAGAGTTGAAGACATACTATGCTGACGGAGGCTGGGACAAGCAGGACTCCCCACTGATTGGCTTCAACTTTCGAAAAAGTACTACAAATTTGACGTATATATGATTCGCGATAACATAATACTCACTTAGGAAATTCCTTAAATGTCTTCATATGATAAAGGAATACTTATTTCAAAAATCCTTCCCCATCAAAATACTAGTAAACGTAATAAACTGAAAGTCATGGTAATTGACTTTGATGAAAGTGTATTATTTGAACTATAGTTGAACTATTTAACATGATCTGCAGAAAATCACAGTCTTATATGAAATTTATTTTATGTTCTTAGACTAGGACAGGAAAATCAGCAAGGCTTATATGCAATCCTTTTGATAATGGTATTTCTTTCGTGATTCTGAAGTGCATCACTCAGCGTTGAATTTAGAGAATTTGCTATTAGGCTAAAGTGTAACCAAAGTGGGAGACAGACAAATTAATGTGGAACCTATCATAAAAGTGCATCAATTGTGGTAGCTAGATTTCACAGCAACGGGCAAAGAGGTAGTCAATGGAGAAAGAACGATGCTAAAGTGGACGAAACTGTTGAAAGAAGAGAGAAGAAATCAAAGAAAATGTTCATTATCTCAAAAGTGATTTTTTAAATAGCATTGACATGCTCACCGTTGACACCACTTTCGACCAATATCACCCAAAATTTTAAAATTTAGTTCGCTTCGCCTCGATGACCCAAAACAAGCAGTTTAGACTTCCTTACACGACTGAAATCTACTCTTGGAATTGGTATCACTTGTTTGTACGTATATGCATGTGAATGTAGTTCTTGTCTGGCATGGGTTTACTACCCAAGCTGTTGAGAGTATAGTAAAGTCGAATCAAATACTTTTTTATTCCCTTAAATCTACTAAGAGAATTCCTAATTCTATTTTATATAAAGATATTCTTCTATGCGACGTTCTCTATACATTTTGGATAAATTAAATTTTATCAATGTCAACCTTGTAGTCTGATATTCTAGTGCGTTGGACATGAATGAAGTTTACTTTAGTGAAATCACCGAATAATACCTGACAAGGGTATGAATTGAAAAACTATCGTCATACTCCAACAAAACTCCAACACATAACCGATATTGATCACTGAGCAAAACACTATCCTCACACTACTGAAAAACACAGAAGACGATAACGAGAAAGCAAGTGTTATTGCTCCAAAATAGCGGAAAATCAATTAAAAATATGTCCGTTTATATAGTTGTTTTACTGGGTCAATAACTGTCAAGTTTGATATGGATAAGTTGTCTACTCAGGCACTGGCTAATATGGACTGATAAGATGCCAATAAACGACCTTCTATTAAGGTTAAGGATGAATATTTAGTCCACATTTTACATGGAGAACATTGATCAGTTAGATGTCTTTCTATCCACTTTGAAATCTCGCTTTCTGACACTTTCGGGGTTGAAGAAAAGCTCAACTTATTTAAGCCTACTGATTAGAAACTTGATTTAAACATCACTAGAGGTCACTTCCAAAAGTTAACCGATCACTTACTGTAACCAACTAGGAACATTGAAATGTGTTAAGTACTGAAGTCAGCCTGAAGTCTAGTTGACGGTGCGTATCTCGTAGACGATTCAGAAGATAACATTCCCAAAATATTTTGACTGTAGCCCGATATTGAAACTAACTTTTATTTTATCCGACAACGTAATCTATCTGGAGGAATAACCTTAATGGCCATCCTAACAACTACTGGAATAAGCAGTCAGGTTTATGTGTTTTATAAAAAGCTACCTTTCTAGCCAGAATCAAAAACCTGATTAGTTATTTTAGTGGTTGCTTGAGTGAACTTTGGAATTACTCGCCTGGAAGCTGCTGTTTTGGAAGGACTATCAAGGCTATCCTAGCGACCACTGAAATAACCGATTTACTTCCTTCATCTAAGTTGGAAAGTTAAATTTTCAGTTATTTCAGTGTTGTTAGGGTAGTCTTAGGAGTTACATGTGACTTAGAACAAATATGCTTTAAAAAAAAAATGCTTAAATATATTCTGTTTGTGCGAGAAACCGTCTATTCAAGTAGTTATTACAAGTATCCACGCTTTGTTAGATTTTTAAATGAATCTTGTTTTTCAAAAAAGTATGTACATATTTCTCTTTATCAGAATGAACATCCTGATATTCGACCAGTTCATTGTACATTTTGTGTTGTCATAACAACCAGTCCAACTTTACCAACAACAAATTCATCTAATCATACATCGACCCTACCCAAATGGAAATTACCTAAAGCTGGATCAACTTCAGATTTAGAAAATTTCACAAAATTCTCCTTACTTCTTACACCATCATTGGATGGTTTTGCTAAACCACCAGGACCAGCATTGATACGTGTAAATGGTACACGTGTTACAGGTCCAATCCTTGTAAGCAGTGATGCAATTATACAATTGGGTAAATCATTATGCCTGAAATATATTCAACCAATACAAATTAAATCGAATCAGTTCACCAATAGCAATAATGGTAGTAGTAGTATTAACAATAATAATATGCTAATTACAAATGAGAACACAATGCAAAATACACCACACACACTAACAGGATTATCATCCAGTCATCATCATCATCAGCAACTGAATACATTAACAAATCGGTTATCAGAAAAACAAATTCTCTCAACTAACGATCGAAATGCTGCATCACGACTAAAGAAAGATTCAAATTCAACTGTTGCACCACTGTCTAAATCACAATCTTCCAAAGTAAGTTTCTTTATATTGTTGATGAGAAAAAAAGTAGTTTAAATTTTAAATTTTGAACAAAAATAGGGATAGATAACAGCTGAGCGGATTCTCACACCATAGATAACTGTAAGTGATTGGTGTCGTGAATTCATATAACACTTGCATCCTGTTGACTTACTAGTCGTCTCAGAGATTTGTCTTGATCCCATGGCATTGAAGTTTATCTGGTTTAGTCAAGCTTATGATGTGTTCTCTTCAAGAAACTCTGAAAGTATGTTGAATAACACCTCAGTTACAACACAACATATTCTTTTGTATATGAGAACACACCTTTCCCATTCAAATTATTAGCTAGACTAGAAATACGTTGAAATCAGCTTGTATGGGTCAGATATTTGAAAACCCAAGTCGCTTTCAGTGTTACACCCAAAATTATGTGCGTAGTTTTGGTAATTGTTCATGTTATGGTATTGTGTGTGTGTCTGTGTGCTGTGTACACGTGTGAACTTGCAAATACATTCAATTCTTTGTCATTTTCGGTTGTTTTACCGGATCAGATTGTTTGACATCTGTTGATAAATGAAATCCTATGTGGATGCTTTGATACTGCTTGAATAATCAATATGTTATAGGTTATATGTCGGCTAGCGGAAGACCCGTTACAAGGAGGTGACTGTTATGCCTTAGTGGTTTAACGGATGATGCTTTGGCATTTGAAGGGATGAGTACTGAGTCCGAGTCTCAGTGGAACATTATCACTCACTAAGTTGCAGGCATACTCAGCTGACGAGTCCCAAATAGGATGAAACGTGCATCCTGAATTCCCCCGCTAGCCACTATACAAACTATGACACTGTATTCAGTTCCAATCATCTCAAAAAATTGGAAAATATATTTGTACTGTTAGCCTTAGGCCACTCCCATTCAGTTTCCAATTATTTTGCATCTATATCTCACATGATTTCTAAATAAAACCATGATAATGCGGAAAAACAAAAAGTCAACAACTTCAGCATCACCCACCTCACATATACACGTATGCCCTTTTGTTCTAATCGCTATCACTACGCTCCGCCCTTGGACAACACATAACCTGGTTTCTGTATATTTTGGGCGAAAGCGGAAAGCACTCACGTGAGCGAAAGAATGGCATAACCTTACCTAGTACGCAGTCAATTCCTGTTGGCCAATGAAATGACCAATCAGATTTTAGAATTTTAAGTGAGTGACCTTATTTTTCTATTCATCACAAAGTTCAATTTATGCTCGTGCGACAGATAATACAAGTTGGTCATAACTTATAACTTGTAGAAAAACACTTCATTCACCCATCCTGCAGGAATTTTCAGACGTCAGCAAGGCACTACTACGGCTATTAAAGGTATTTAAAACCGTTTGGATTAGGAGTGTAAAACCTAGATACGAATTTACATTTAAGTCTAGGAGAACATTATTTGACCTCAGATAAACAAAACGCTATTATTGATAGGTATTTGTAATTGAAATATTCCCAGATTTGCTTTATTCTGTGATGTGTGAATAAACTGTATTGGATTAGACAAACTACAGAATTTCATCTGTCGACCTCTTGTAACCTTAGTGACCACGTTACTCGATTAAAAAGTTACTAAACTACTTGGATCAAACGACACTTCGGCTGTTGTGTACAATGAATGAAGGCTGACTATCCGCGTTTATAGATTGATCGGAAACTAATAAGATATGGATTTTTGTAAGATCAACTTCTGACTACACTTAAAAAGTGGTACTTTATACCAGAATAATGGTTGGTTTCCGTTCTACCTAGAGACTGACTGTAGGTGGATGGTGCATTCTTCACACAGTGCAGAAATCCAGCTAGTTGGTTTAGGCAATCTGCTTAAGTGTCCAAGTAATATTTTGATTCCTATGAGATGTGGTTCACAGCATCTCACAAAACCTTGTATGTAGCCATTGACCTTTCGAGTCTAAAAACTGCTGTTATAAATCCCGGTTCCCGTTGAAATTTAACTATCCTTTTCACAGAACCACATATTTCCATAACTGAGACCAGTTTGTGAGGACCAGCTTGTATCACCTTACAGGAGGTTACAAACGCATCAGTCCTCACGTCATAAATTCGACGACTGTTGACGATTCTGTTTGTATGAAATGCTGATCAAATAAGCAGTTAGTAAAATCAAACATAGGGAGAGTTGTGTAGCATAGAACCGTATTATAAATATGTACTAACATTCAAACAAACACAATAGTGATGAAATACCTACAGGTGGCCTGTGTAAACCTCTGAGCTACCCAATTTTCTCATTCTGTATACTGTAACAAGTTAATTGTGTTTTAATTTGTTTCTATTGTCTAATTATAACTTCAAATGGTATCAACTACACGCATAAACTTTTTAAATGTTGTCAACCTGTTGCTATCAATTTGAGAAATGCAGTAAACAGGAGACATCAGGTAGGATGGCAAAGGGCTCTAACAGCCAACAAAACTACACCCAATGACCCTGACCGAAATACTCAGCTTGAACTGCAGATATCTACTGCTTGGGGTGGAGTATATAAAACGCGTTCCATGTTCTAATGTTTATCACAATGGTTGCGTAATAATGTTGCAAGAAACTTGGATGCAAAAAATTATGTGATACCAATGTAGTCTCCTTAAATGGTCTCAAAATGATTCACTGGTACCGATTAAGTTCGACGAAAAAGTTCAGTGAAGGTGTAGCTGCTTCCATCAACACTTAGTGGTGCTCAACAAATTATACATGCTTTAACTATTCTAATAACAATACAGACTGTATCACTGTTAAGTTTCGTGCCAAACATCAACTTAAAAATGAATCCCCTTACGTCATCAGTGTCTACCTGACTGCTAGTTTAAGCCACACAGGATTTACTGCTCTGATAATGTGTGGTTAATTATCCATAGTATGTGCTGATTTTAACCCTTGTGACTGCAACTTTCTATGTTCTCTTGGCCTCAGTACCCTAGTCAATTTTTAAACTGGTTTTCATGCCACATTACACTTTGTCTTTGTTAATGTACCAGGCACATATGAAACTCAAAAACGTGCACCACTCCGGATCACTATATTATAGGAGTTGAGCTAAAAATACATGGCATACTGTAGAAAAGTAGTTTTATATACCAATCTAAGCCGACTGTGCACGGCAGCCTAATATGTGACAATATACATAAACTCAGATGCATACTGCAAAACAGAGGATGAGAGATATTTGGAAATGATAATTTGGATGGTATAATCGACACTGTAACATGCTATCTTAAATTTTACCTTGATATTTGCTACCCAGCTGAAGTAATTTTTCTAAGATTTGATAGACTTTCGTCTTTTGAATTGGAAATACTACGAAGAAAAACTGTAAAAATCGAAAGACAACACTTGTGTTAAACGACTTAACTACCTGACTAAGTGTGAAATAAAACTCCTTAAGTTTAGTGCATAACCAGAAGATTATGTCACGTTACATCCCTTCTAGTATATAGAGACTTTTCGATGATCTCGCTGGCAAGAGAAAACTCAGGAATGAAGCTTAGGAAAATATTTATGCACTAAACGAGTCATTCATACTTTATGTTTCCTATTTCTCCACATGAAGCAGAATGCAGTTTTCCAAAATTCAATAAAATGGATATGTTCAAATGCCTAAAATCATCCAAACCTTCACAAAACTTGGCATCAGATGTCATTCCAGGTATTCTATTTAGCAAATATGCTGATGTTCTATGTCACACACTAACAAACATTTTCAATGAGTCCTTTGCCGGAACTGATATGCCGACCACCTCGAAGGAAATGAAAATAGTTCCGAAACTTAAGTCCATATCTTCTAGGATAAAAGTGAAATTCCCACTGATGGTACTAACCTCACCATTCCTAAAAACAATGGGAAAACGTTGCTTCATGTACTTCAACCTCCTTTGGAGGCTTTCAGAGTTCTATATCCATTTGCTTACAAATCGAGAAGGAGTACTTTAGATGCCGGTCACTGCCACTTTGGACAAAGGTGCTGAGTATGTTAGATCTGCCTTATCAGATTATACTTCTGCCTTTGAATCTTTCCATAGACCCGTTTTATTAAACAAGCTTGCCAGAACTAACATTAAGTCATGAACTGCAAACTGACTTTGTTCTTATTTTTCTGAGGGAAGACAGTACAATGTATACTGAGAGTGGCACTGTACTTCCCTGTTTGATAAAGTTGGTGTGCATCAACGTACTGTTCTTTCATCTTTTCTCTTCTCCTTATTTTTTCATGACTTATCAACCTCAACTGAGGCTAACTTTGTTAAGTACGCAGATGACCCAACGGTGACTATGTCGATCATCCCCTCTTCAGATTGTTTGCAAGTTAATAGTTTATTAGTAGAAGTTGGTCACTGGTCTTTTTCAAACCACCTCATAGTAAATTCCTCCAAAAGTCAGATGGCTAATTTTAACTTGAGAAGTGAATAAGATAGACGTAAATTGCTTCGGTGACATGACTCTTGTCTTGTAGTTCATTGTATTTTAGAGAATGTATCGAGCATGATCCACCTTGGCTTACGCTTTTCTTCTGATGATTCTTGATTCTGTTATATCTAACTGATTCCCAGGAAAGTCTGACGCTTCACCTTTTTCATATAGGGACTCAGATCATGAAAAGTAACTCAGCCTCTACTCTTATGTATTGTTAATTCTTGTGTTTTGCCTATACTTACCTATTGTTCCCCCTTATTCTTTTCTGGATTCTCGAAAAAAAAGACAACGCTGGATTGCTTAGGATTTTGAAGGCTGTTATTAGAACGATTAGTACACCATTAACCGTGTTGATAAGTGTTGTCGTGAATAGGCATCTGAACCCTTGTAGACAACTGGCTGAAAGTATTTTATCTGATGGCAAGCATCATCTGCATCCGCACCTCTCTCTATTTCTTTCCTCATGGAAAACAAGAGTCAAATATACTAAACTCTGCGCATGCACAGTGACATACAAAATTCAACCATATCTCCT